TGCATTTTCAACAAGTTTCCAGGTGTTGCTTATGCTGACAGTCTGCAGACCACACTTTTGATTGCAAAGTTCTAAAATATCTTCTATAAAAAACTTTAGTATATGAACTTTTCAGAGATATTGATCATCTTGCAAATTATCTAATTTCTCTAATTAGAATAGAAGAATGTAGAGATGGCATTTTGGGAATTATATACTTCTAGGGACCTCAGAAATCAAATATATTTATGATATTACCGTTTCTGAAAGATAAGCACATCCTATCTATGGTAAATTTTAGCAAATTCAACAGAGTTAAGCCTGAACTGTCATTTTCTATCTCATGACTGAATGATGGTTGTGGTCAACTAGAGGGAACTAATTCCTTTATACTTTACTCTTTAAAATCCTGTTTAAATTTAAGAGCAATGTGTAGTTACTGTTTTTAAAAAAGTACTCTAGTAAAAAGAAAAATACAAAAAGTAAAAACTGCCCATAACTCATCAATGCAGAGAACATGCAATTAATATTTGATACATTTCCTTTGTGTTATATTTTACCTAATTAGATTATAATATCATTCAAATTTATTTCCTGCTTTTTACAGTCAATATATTATAAAATTTTTCCTTTATTAATTTTTTCCAGTACAAGTCAATGGCTGTGTGATGTTCGATGATAAGTAGATACCTTAATTTAACTATTGCACTATCAAGCAAAATATTTAGTTTCATTCTTTCTTTTTCTTAAGAGTATTATAAGTTATGTTGCAGTGAACACACTTGTTCTTAACTTTTTAACTTCATCATTCCTTGGGATTGATTCCTGAAAGTGGAAGTGTTGTATTGGAATATATCCATATTTTAAGCTTTTAATAGATATGGCCAAATTGCTTTCCAGAAGCTTAGGTAAATTTACATGTCCGTCAACAGCTGGAGTGCCCAGCACTCTTCCCAGCATAAAGTGGTATCTTTTAAAAAGTCTTTGCAACTCTTAGACAAAACCAATTTATTTTACATTTTACATTTCTTAACTGCCAGTGAGGCTGAAAAAATTTTAATGATTTATTATTATCCATTGTGTTTCCTTTTTGGTGATTTATCTGTTACTATTTTTATACACTTCTCCTTTGGAGTCTTAACATTTTTTTCTTTTTTGCTAGAAGAAGTTTCTTTATATAATGGGGATAATAATGCATCATATTTTTAGCAAGTATTTTTCCCAGTTATTTTTTCTATCTTTATGAAGTTCAGTGATGTTAGCATGCTCATTTTTATGATGAAATCTATTAACCAACCTTCTTTGTGGTTTTTTACATGTCTTAATGCTTAGAAAATCCTTCTTCAGCCTACATTTTTTTGTTCCTCTTGTACAGTTTAAATTTTTTTACTTTTAACTCTTACATCAGAAGGAATTTTGCTGCCTTGTGTGAGGAGATGATATAATATGATAGATTTTTCCAAATATCAAACATTCTCCACATCACTTACTGAATAATCCCTCCCTCCCATTGATTTCCAATACTGCCTCGAAGATATATTGAGTTAAATCACTTGGGTTGCCTTCTGGGCTAGCCATTCTGTTCTGTTGGTCAGTGTGTCTATTCTTTTGCCAGTGTCACTGCTTTTAGTACTGCTTTAAAAATAAAACAAAAAATCAAAAGTGCTTTTTACTAGCATTGCATACAAACAGCTCTTTCCTACTGAAAGAATTTTTTTGGTGGCATAAGTAAAGAAAAACTCCATGGATGAGTGTAGATGCCAGTAGATTTATGTGAGTAAAGAAAAAAGGTTAGAGGTGTTGAAGACAAAAGAAGAAGGGGAGGGATGAAGAGCAGAAAGAGGGAGCAAGCCTGTGCAGAATGCAGAGGGGAAAAAGTACAAGAGAACAAATAGCGGGGAAAACAATGCAAAAATGGAAGGGAAAGATGAAATGGAGAAACAAAGATTTGTGGGAAGGAAATAAAGATTGTAGTATTACACTCACTGAGTATACTTACAAACTTATAAAGTATATTTACAGTAGTATATTTGCATATAAAATGCACAACACATCAATAAGACCTGGCCCACGAGATCAACAAAGATATACAAAACCAGAACGATGTATCGACATTAATGACAGAATAGACTGACACAGAAACCCAGGTGCTCACACTAACATATCACAGCAGGTTCTCTGTTGTGGTCAGGTTGATGGTTAGAAGAATTCACAGGTGTAGGGTTTACCTGGATATTCCTAAAATTAGTAAGATGTGTTTAATTTTTTTAGTTTGGTCAATTTGTTTATGATTGGTATATACCTATGCAAAATCAGATTTGCTTTAAACAGTGTGACTCAAAGTGGAATACAGGCTTTGGGGTTACATGATTTAGAGGCAGTGGTTAAGAATCTTGTTTTTAGGCTGGGGACAGTGGCTCACAGCTGTAATCCAAACATTCTGGGAGGCTGAGGTAGGAGGATTGCTTGAGGCCAGCCTGAGTAAGAGTGAGACCCCTGTCTCTACAAAAAAAAAAAAAAAAAAAAAGGAAAAATTAGCCAGGTGTGGTGGTGCATCCCTGTAGTCCCAGCTACTCTGGTGGCTGAGGCAGGAGGATCCCTTGAGCCCAGGAGTTTGAAGTTGTAGAAAGCTATGATGACACCACTGTGCTCTACCTGGATGACAGAGTGGGACTATGTCTCCAAAAAATAGAAATAAAAAAGTCTTGTTTTTGGCGTCAGGTTGACATGTGTTAAGCCATATTAACCATATGATTTTGGATAAGTTATTTAATGTATCTAGGTTAATTTCCTCAATAAAGTGAGATTAATATAGAAAACACCTGTGTTTCTCTGGTAATTAAGTGACATAGTTTGTAAAATCTTTAACAGGTTCTGTGAGTTTACTAAACAGCAAGTTCCCTGAGGGCAGGGACCCAGGGTATCTTCTTCCCTGGTTTTCCTGGGGCTTAAATCAATTCCTGACATCAGAAGTAGCTCAGTAAGTATTTGTTGACAAAGAAAAGGAATATTTGCATGGCATTTAAAATGCCATCAGATTTTTGCTGTGTTTTGATTTTAGCCCATTTGACACTTTCAAGTGGCTCTTCCATAAGGGATACAAGTGTGATGATAAAAAAGGACAAAGTGGACCAGACTTGCAAGTTTGCTTTTTGAGGGCACAGGTCCCCTAATGTAAAAACTCTTTTTTCTTGTCGAGAAGCCCCTTTAAATGCAACTTCATCTGGAGGGGGCAGCCTTTAAGTCAGCATCCATCAACACATTGGGTCACATGACAGCCCCTCAGTGGGGTCTGGTTAAGGACCAGGTCCGGGCAGGAGCCACAGCAGGTGGAGCGTGCCCTGGCAGAAGGGACAGGAGAAGGCACAAGAACAGACCTCCGCCACCATGCAGTTCTCCATGAACTGGTGCCGTTTCACTCTGCAAAATTTGTAAATCTGAATGCAGTTATGAGATGGAATTCTGTGGAGAGGTTCTAAACAAAATACACAATATTCATGATCCTGGAGGGGACATTCCAAATCCACCTGCAACCTTCAAATGACTAGTAACAGTCAACGCACCCTCACATCCTGTCCAGGTACCGACCAACTAAGGTAGCAAAAGTGATTGTAAAGGTAGGAAGAAGGACTATGACACCAACCGAAAGCTGTTTTATTATAATTGCTCGTTTACATTCATGTATAAAACTGTTCTTATGATGCTCACATCGATGTGGGAAATTCTTTAAGAGGGTTCTTGTTTGACATTTTAGCGTGGAACATTTCCTCAGTGTTGTTATAGTGCCTTCTTGTCACATTGCTTCATATGTGCATTTTGTCTTCTCCAATGAGGAGCCACTGAGAACAGAGAAGGAGTTTTGTGTTCCTTCTTGTTGTCTGTTAAGGGTTTTAGTATAGTTTTCAGACTCAGAGGGCTTTGCCCAGAAACCCTTCTTGTGTGAATTAGCTAAGTGACAGGTATTTATGGACATCTGTACAATTTTTGATCTAGCTTTAAGAGAGTAGAACTTCTCCTTATGAGACTAGAGCAAGAGGTTAAGAAGGAAGAGGCTGATGTCTCAACTCATCGATTCGTGAGCTTGGACAAGCTCCTTTACGTCTCGCCTCAGCTTCCCAACTCAGATGACAGAGGTTAACAGTCTAGGATACAAGCCTGGAGTACAAAGTCATTGAGAAGCCCAACTAGAGTAAGTGGCTACATGTTTTACAAGTCTCACAGGATTTGTTGAGGTCTGAATTGACAAAAAGAACCAGGCCTTGTCCACAGTGGGCGCTCAGCAAACATTATTGGCGAGGCCATTGGCTCCCTCTGCTAGCAGGAGCTCAAAGCAGCGAGATGCCAGAAGCAGAATACAAACTCCCCGGTAACAGAGAGTGACTGTGCTTTTGAAGTCCTTCCTTTGTGAGAGTGGAATTTGTGATAGGAAACTGGCTTGCTTGGGGCGGTGTGGGTTGGGTGGGGTGGGGTGCCGATGACCTGCTATGTTTGTTTCCATTTTTGATTCCCAGGTTTCTGTGAGTTTCTCTCATCTTGTTTCCTGTTTTTCCTAAAAGCCTCAATATATGAATATCTTTTTTCCTGCAGGTGTTACTAACTTCTTTATCCTTCCGGACAGTCTCAGCAATCATTTGCCTTTCATGTGGGTCCTATGACCCGGGCGAGTGATGTATTAGTAAAAACAAAGATTCCCATGCAGGGGACATCTCTGTGAACCCTGGTGTGGGTCATTCTTACTTGAAATGAGAATATGATTGCAAAAACCATACAGTAAAATTTCTAAAACTCAATTAAATTTTTAAAAACAATCTACAGTAGAATTTATTAAAACATGTCTTTGTCATTAAACTGATGCCAATAAACTGTCAGTGGATCATGAAACATTACCCCTGTACAACTGAGAAAGCCCATTGTAACATTACTTCAAACAGCCCTATATATATCTACACGCCCACATATATATTAATTTCTTTAATTATGTTTTGGTGTTTCTTAATAAAATCTCATATTTTAAAAACATTTCTGATTTTAACTCTTTACTTCCTGCTGAGAATCCATGGATAATAACCATACCATTTAGGGTATCTGATTTTATGTTCTTGGGTTTCATAATAGATTATTATTTCTTCCTTGCCAAAAATTATGACTGTTCAGAGAAGTGGCAGTTCCCCCTCAGTGTCACACTGCTGGCTTCCCAAGCAGCTGGAATGACTGCTGCTCTCAAGGCCTCCCTGGGGATCTCTCTGCAGTGGAAAATTCTCAGCCTCTACTGGAGTTTAGCAACAGTAAGGAGAAACAAAGGAAATGCCATTTTCCAAAATCAAGTAGACTAAGACTCCTCCTATCTTTCCATATACTCGCACTGCCTTCTGCCTTCTCTCAGGACGCTTCACTACGTAAAGAGCAACTGTATCAGACAGAGAACCCTGCTACGGTTGGAACCCAGGTACACAGCTCAGTGCAGGTAGGAAATCATGTGACTTGAAGTTTTAAAAATAAACTTTGCACATGAAAGCTTTTCAGTGATTTTAATTTTTTTTTCTTGTTTGAAGTATTGTGAACATCTTTCTCATTCAGAAGGGAGTTTGCCCAAATCAACAATCACCACATGTTTACTGTTCATTTTAACTTTACACATATATTGGACAGTTTTCTAGATCATGCATTGCTCTAGAGATTTTTCAAGAAAAATGCACACAATAATTTAACAAGTATTGATAGCACCTCACACGTCATTTTTGATAAATCTCTGCTTAAAACTCTAATAAATACAGCCATCGTGGCTCTTTTGACCAAGTTAAGTATTCTTTGAATTTGCCCAAGTTTTGTTTTGTTTCCCTTACACGTATACAAGGGAAATTTGCTGGATATAGAATTTGCTTGTTTATAATGATTCTACCAGATGTTATGGAGAAGCTAAGGATTTATGTAATTAAACATGTTTAGTTGTAAGGGAAATCAATGCAAGTCAATAAAGCTGTCACTAGGAGGTATGATATTTCGGACATGTCCTTCTCCTTAAGTAAAACTTAAGTGTCCACGAAGAAACATCTCAAAGCAGCAACTGTGTTGGGATTTGTGGATCAGGTGCTGTGGAATTTGTCCTGCCTCCTGCTTTCACTCCTGACTCTCAGTCTCTTCTTCACAAAAAGTTTCTTTAAGGATGTTAAGTCAAATGATGCCATTCCTTGGGTGAAAACCCTGCAGTAGTTTCCCATCTCTCTCCATATGAAATCTAAAGTTCTTACCTAGGTTTACAGGTTGGGTTATGACATAATTTATCATCCAAACAGAACTCTTGGAAATGAAAAGGACCTTAGGAGCAATTACACCAGAGCAACAGGTGCAAAATAGGGTTAGCCCTGAGCAAACCAGCGCTTGAGGCACCTACCTGGAAGGCACTATGTGAACTGGCCACCCCTCCTTTGAGGATCTCATGTTCTGTCACTGTCGCCTTCTCTCTGTCCTCACTTAGCTCCAGCCACACCTACCTACTGGATGCTTTTCAAATCTAACAAGCATGCCTCAGTGGCCTGGAATGTTCTTTCCCAAGATATCTGCAGGTCTTGCTCTTTTCACTTAATGGTCTCTACTCAAATCTCATCTATTAGAGAGACATTTTCTGACTCCCTCCTAAAGTGTATCCCGCTTCACCTGTTCACTCTCTCCATCTTACCTTGGCTGATTTTTCCTCATAGTGCTTATTACGTCCTGACATATTATATATGTGCTTTTTGTTCATTTTCTAGTTAGGTCATGTCTCCCGCTCCAGAAGGCAAGCTTCATCAGTGGATGAGCCTTGTTTTGTGTATTGTTATTTGCCCAGTATCTAGAACAGTGCCTGGCATTCAGTATGTATTTAACCATACTTGGTGAATGAACAAATGGGAACATGCATGGAAGAATAAATTGCTGCCTAGAGTTATGGGAAGTTTTAGGGGAAAAGAGCAACTTGCATTTAGTTTTGGGTGGCAATTAAATGAGAATGCTTGTAGTCTAAGAAATAAGCGAGATGTACCAAGAAGAGTGTTACATGGTATAAAGACAGAGTTGGAGAAAATTTTGGCTAATGTGAATAGAAAAGAAAGGTACAATATTTTAGAATGATGACTCACTGAAATATTTTTACACCTGATTACAGTGAAACAGCTTACCCCTTAGTAATGCATATTTTATGTCTTTCTAATATGTTTATTTCATTCAGGTTGCCTATCATGTGTTTTAATTCAACTTAATTTTAAAAATTCATTTCAAATTTTCTATCAGCCACTAGATTTAGAAAATCCCTTAATAGGTATTGCTGTCATCTTAGACATAAGAATATATAACTGGCAGAGCATCATCTATGTTCCAGGGATTCTCATGTTTTTGAGTTTTATCTCCTTTAATCCTCCCAACAAACCTGTATGGTGTAGGCATTCCCTTATTCCCAATTAACAATGAGGAAACCAGAGCGCAATGGTTAAGGTGGTCTGATTTCAGAATCCGTGTTCCTAGCCCACCACCTTTGCCATACTGTGTGGTTAGTTTGTTTTTATTATTTTTGTTGTTATAATCACTATCAGTTTATTATTCTTATTAACTTCTATATTCCAATAGCAATACTTTGATAGAATTCCCTGATTTTTCTGGCAAATTCTAAATGTAACTTTTTGTGATTCAATCTACTTAAACTACTACCAGTTGTTTTCCTCTTAGCTTTTCTCACAGTGTGTCTTTATCTCAGTTATTCATTTCATTGTTTATGGTCTGTCGTTTCTCACTGAAATATCAGCTTCTAGAGGGTGGGAACCTCTTTGTTTTGCTCACTGCTATATTACTGATGCATAAGTGCCTGGTATGGAGCAAATGCTCAATAACTATTGGCTGCATGAAGAAATAATGAATGAGTTATACTAAGGAGTTGTATCTTTTTTCTATATGACTTGTGATTCAATCAGTTAACTATTATTTATAAGCACCAATTCTGTGCATAGTTCTGTGCCATGGTTCATATATAGTATTAATACTTACTAAATGTCAGGTCCTCTTCTAAGCACTTTATGTAAAGCAACTCTTAATCTCAACAACAACTCTATGAGATGATGATCTGCCAAGAACCAAAAAATGTGAATGGTGCCTTTCTATAAGGAGCTTCAAATATGGTTGAAAAATAATACTAATGGAAGTGAAATAATTAGAAAATAATGTAAGTTTATAATACAAGCATAACTATTAAATTTTGAGTTATAATTAAATTTTGAGAGAAGAACACAGGTAGATAATTCAAATTTTATAAGGAGTTGATATTTCATGTTGGCCTTAAGTGACAGGAGGAATTTGGGTAGATGAAGGGACAAAGGGGGTAATATTCCTGGATAGAACAACTGAATTAAGTTGTAAAACAAGAATAACCTTTGGGGTCTGGAAATAATGCTATATATGATTGGGCAGGCAGGGAGAGCCCAGCCATAGATAAGTTTGAAACCCAGGCAGAAAAATCTAGAGCAGAGGTGGCTGGAGTCAGTGAATCACTGTGTGTAAATATGTGTGCATGTTTGTGTGTGTGTGCATCATTTGTAAAATCAGGAAAATAAGTCTTTCCAGCCTTAGTATGTAGATCAAATGGGATAAAGAGAGTAAAGCACTTATCCCAGTTCCTGGCACATATTTAAGCAACCACTAAATGGTAGCCTATTATTGCTACTGCTAATGATAATAGGAGAGAAAGTTTGCCTTGAATTTTTAATCTGGATAAATAGACTCATTCTGAGTTATTTATAGCAGGTGTATCTAATTTGTCTTTATAAAGTCTTTAAAAAGTTTAACCAATAATACTATTGATTAAGACAAACATCAGGAACCCATAGAAAAATGAGCAGACCCCACCTATATTCAGCAAAGAACATGTGTTGTTTTAATGGCATCACCATGGACAGAGCTAAAAAATAACCACATGAAAGAGTTTTCAGACTGCTATCTATATTTCATTAAAAATGTGCTATTTGCAACTCTACAGACTTCAGTTATAGGTTTACGATTCCCATGAAGTATATTCCACTAAAACTCAGTTGTTATAAAAATAGGCATTTCCCAGAGGGATAAACAGAGGAGGCATAATAACCTCTGCAAGATCCTCTATAAACTTCAAAGGTATGAGAATGCCCGTAAGGTTTTTGTTTTGTTTTGTTTTGTTTTAGGTGTTCTTGGTGATGATAAGGGAGGCAGAGAATAAACTGTAACTCTAAGAGCTTTTAGTACTTTAACATTTAAAAAAAATACATCTAAGTATAGATTGCCGATTTCCTTTATACTAACTATTCTTCAAACCATTTATGAGAGTTAATGATGCAATTTATAATTAAATATTATTATAGATGAAGAAAAGTAGGCCAGGGTTCTAAATAAGCTGGATGTTGGTGGAGAGGTCTGAGCCACGGGGCTTCCATAGAAGGGAGGACTAAAAAGTGTAGGAGGAAAAAAATGGGAATAGAAAACAAGAGAATAGGAGAAAAAAAATATTAAAGTCTTTTGAAGATTTTAAAAGTGAAAGTTTGAATTAAAGAAAAATTTGTTAGACCCCACTTAAATTCATGTATGCCATTTGCATTTGCTCAGGGCCATTGCAGAAAACATTTTCTTTATGCAACACCCTGGACCTGCTCCAGCTAATTAACAGAAAGAAAGGTCATCTACACACACAAAAAGGCACTACCTTTGTTGCTGAATAGCTGGATTAATCTTTTAAGAAAGTCTTAAATATTGCTAATTCCCTTTACCCTTAAACCTTGTAATTAACTGGACTTTCAGCCATGTGCTCTCTCCTCTTCATCTCCCTCTCCTTTTCCCTCTGGGCCTGCAATTCCAGACATTCCTTGCTGCCCTCCTCATCCCTTACACAATCATCCATCTTAAGTGGGGCTTTGTGGACAGACCCACTCTTTACTTAGCTGTGGTCTTTACAATCTACTGCCAAAATGTCCCTTCCCGGCAAGAGCCTTTATGCAACTTGTGACACACTCTGAGTTTCGAGCAATAGGATTAACTCAGGGTAAAAGTGCATTGAGTATTTTGAGTGCAGGTCACTGTTTGCTGTGCTAGTCGGCAAAGTACACAGTGACTTGAGCAATGCTCCTTGGGCATTTTAATTTAGAGTGTAGACATTCTGTGGCACAGGTGTCAACACTTGCTTTTTCTTAAGGACAGTTAACTAAAATCTGGTTGTGATCAGTGTGTTTTAGTTTGTTTGGACCAACTCTTCGCTCAAGGGGAAAGAGCCTGCCTTCTACATTCTAAATCAGGTTGGCTCTCTGCAAGCTCTCCAGCCCTGCCATAAAATAAAACCATGTACACTATTTTCTATGTCGTGGCATGCCTTGGCATCTGCTCCCGTCATGGCGTCAGGTGCAGTCCATGTCACGTAGGACATGGCACCTAGGCGTGGTTTCCTTCTCACTGGAGCAGCTGGAGCACACGCTGAGGGCAGAGGACCTGGGTCACGGCTGGACGATTGCAGAGCAGCCATGACATCTCTTGGAAACAAAAATAATTGTTAAACACTGAGGAATACAGAAAAGCACTTTTCTCCCTTTGAATCAAGAATATTATTGTGAACCTTAGCAAAACAAATCAATGGTGCTAAGTCTTCTGAACATCGGCCCTGAACCTGACATGCTTTTAAATTGGGCTAAGCAGTTACAGAGCAAGTAGGCTCTTTAAAACTCTGTTTATTGCTATACTCTCCGTTCTGGCTTTGTCCCAGAGATTTCCGATGGTTCCAGGAGCTTTGGAGTTGGTATCTCTGATGTGTTTGCATCTGACCTCTGACCTAAACGTCAGTGTTATTTTCAGCTGTTTTTGACAGGGAATCTAACAGCTGCTGTTTAATACCACAGACAACTTGCAACACGGGCTGAGTTTCCAGCAGTAGGATTAATCTGCTGTTTGGGGGCTCTGATCTGAAGCTGGCTATAATCTTCCTGCACAGGCGCTGGGAGTGGGGAATAAAAACCAAGCCTGAAGTGTGATCCTCTTTTTTAAATTGTAACAAAATATGCATAATGTTATCCATTAATTAAACAAAGACATTTTCTTGCTGCAATTAAAAGTTAACAGCAAAGGGTTCTGCTTTCTAATGGTTATGGTAACTGAATTTGTAAACGCTGTTTAATAGTGAGGTAGAATAGTCACAAAGAAATCCTGAAATGATAGGTATTTATATTGATAAATGCTGGTTGAAATGTTTTAAAAATGTTTCTAAGAAATCTGAGGCTCTGAGAAAATGTGGCTTTTCCATATAAACTTTATTTGGCAAAGGGCAATACGTTTTTAGAAAAGCAGATTAATATAAAAATGTATTTCAAGCAATTTTGTGACTTAACCCCAAAAAACAAATACCAGAATTTTTTTTTTCAAAAGTACATTTTTTGGTGGTTTTCTTTACATGAGAGAAACTTCGAAAATCTTGAAAAGATTGATATCCAGGTCAATGATTTGCTGGTTTCGAAGTCCATGGTTACAAGTACGCAGTTTTAATTGCAAAACTCATTTGGGTTGTCAGGATGTAATTTTTTTTTTCCATTTGCTATCAAACATCAGCTGATAGGGAAACAGCTCAAAGCTGTCCTCCACATTTAAGATAATGGCAAAAATAACAGGCGCTGAGCGTTACCATACTAGGGGTGTGGTGATTCTCTCTCGTTCCACTCCTCTCTCTCTCCTGATAAACTCAATGGGGTTGTCTATTTTTAACCTCCTGTTCTTTCCTTTTGGCAGAGTAATCATTGCGAGCCGAGCTCCTTCCCTGAATGAATCCAAGTAACCCCAGTGGTTGCCTTCTGAAATGACCAGCAGACACGCCACTGTACAGAGACTGCCCAAAGTATAAACTCTGTTTCTAAGGTACCATGTCCAGCCAAGGAAATCCTGGTGCAGAGTTTTCTACGACAACAGTCAGTTCAGTAGCTGTGCAGGCTGGGGACTCCAAAATCATTATAGCTGTCGTAAAGGTAAGCTAACAACTTTCTTTTTTCTGTGTGGCTATGGGCTTCTTGCTGCTTGTTGATAACCCTAAAGAACATTCCATGCAATCGGCAGGACACAGCATATAGAAGATAACACAGCAAGCCCTTTTATTGCTTTCTTAAATCTGCAACTAAGAGAAATCTCTATGAAGTTTCAGCCAGTTATCTGAGTTTCCCTTTCCTTTTAGTCAGCCAGAAAGCCTCTACAGAAGCTTGATTTAAACTTGAAAACTCTACCACATACTTTCAATTTGCTCTTTAGAAGCAAGGCATGAGTGATTAGAGGTTCGTGATTGCCAGGCTGAGGAACCTGGCAGACCTGTGCAATACTTGTGATTTTGGGGAGTGGATGTGATGGAGGTGGGAGGAGGCAGGTCCTGCAAATGGGGGTGGCCCTATTTTGAGCTCAGTGGGGTACAGGAAGCACCTAGAAAGAGGCTCCCACCAGTGCCTTCTGCAACTCTGGCTTTGACATGCTAAAGATACCACTGAATACTTATCATGCTGTTGGGGAAGTGAAGACCCTGCCAGGGAAGGTGCAAAGGGCTTGTGTCAAATTTGCTTTTAACAGCAGGAAGTAGAAGCCACTTGGGGCTTAAGATTACTGCACATTTTATGTCAAGCAATTTGCCCATTTGCGAAGATGACCAGGCATCTTTAGGTTGAAGAAGACATCCATGATTTTATTCTCTATAGAAATGCCCTGCAAAAATCTCCGAAGCATTAGATTTGTGGTTTAGACAATTTACCAGCTAAAGAATTCAGTGTTTAATGAAGGGAAATCTGGCAAACAAGCAGCCAGGTACTTTCAGAACCCCACCAGACTTAATGGAATGGCTTTTCTGGCCTTTTGCTAGAGCATGGGCAATAAGGCCTGTTTAATTTAACTTAATTGCTGTGAATTTTACGGTTATGTGAAAATTCGTAACAGGAAAACAGCATTTTACATTGAGCACAACGATTCACTGTAGGACAGAGTGCGAAGGGTTCCTACCGAGGATGATTTCCCAGTGTTGTTGAGGCTTGTCACACAGAAGCAGAACCTCTGCTGACGCCCTCATCCCCTCCTCTTGTCAAAGTCAGTGAGAAGAGATGGAAGGAAACTGAAGCAGAAGTAGCAAGAACTGATCATTTGCGCGTGATTTTATGATGCTTTGAGTAACTGCAAATTTCAGCAGTGAGGGGGAAAGAGGCTAACTCACTATTTTTTAAAAAGTTAACTTTTCTTGTCCTCAAATATATGAACTTTCTTAGAGCAGGATAAGGAACAATATAGGGAATAAAATATAAGAGAAGCAGAAATAGGTTGAATGCAAAAAAGAAAAAAAACCCCTCTAAAATTACACTGGAAATTCTTATTTTAACTGAATTGTGTTTCTAAGAATGTTACCTATGGCCCCTCCCAAACTCCCCTTCCCTTGCTGCCATTTCCAAATGAAATACACCTCAAGGTGTTCAATGTGAAAGTCCATCTTGATGGAATAGAAGTGCCTGTGTCTGATCTGTAGTGACTTCTTCCAAACTATCTCAGGGCACTAATTATATTCTATAATAGAAACACATTTTTCTCATTTCTCTTTAGTAATTCACATATCCACATGCACGGGCCTGTTAGTGGTTTCTTTTGCTTAATCAGTTGTTGCTTCTTAGAAAAGCAAGTCCTCGGGAAATGCAATGATGAATTATGTCTTAGAGCAGTGAAAATCCTGAGTGTGGAAAACATGTTGATAGCATTCAAATGGCAGTTGTCACAGGCATCTAATTTTATTAATATTTTCCTACATGCTTTATTGAATACTCAACAACAGTTGGAAAATGTTATGTTTTATCTTTGAAATAAGATAAAAATCAATTGCTTCATCTGATGCTTATTCTTTCTGGTTGAACCAGCAAGGCCAATGTAAAGACACTAATCAGCATAAATTGCATTTATTATTACAAAAACTTTTCCATATGAACTTTGTGTCCTACTTGCCCAAGTGGAATTTCATTATTTTATGGAGTTCAGTTTTGCGGATGAGGATGGGCACAATTATGTGAATTATTCTGTAATTTTGTAATATTCAATAATACCTGATTTGTTGTACATGTTCCTCACTTGGGAATTTTTAATTCAAATCCAATATGCTAAGGGAATAATTTATCCTAAGAATAATAAACAAGGCAGGGCATGGATTTATATTAGATCTGTTATGTTTCAATTTAAGTAAGGTCATCTCTATGGAAAGAATAAAATGTTTACAGTATAACTGGAAATTTAATATATATATTAAAAAGGAGAAGGGTGAAGAGGAAGGAACAAGAGGAACTAAAAGTGCATTTTATTTCATTTTTATTTTTAGTGTGGCAAATGGGTACAACTTCAATTGGCTGAATCACAGCCCAATCTTCTAGAAATTGGTAGCAGTCAAGATGAAACCAAAAAACTTCTTCATGATCATGAACTTCTTTTGGCGAAGCTCAAGGTAAGATATTAAGATGTGAAGCAGAAACGAAATTAAAAAGAGATAAAAAGCTATTTCTCAGACTTCTTGATTCCTCTGGTGTCCCTGGCCAATGGCCATCTTAACATGGTTCCAGACAGATAATGGAAAACACTACAGTTATTTATGAGCAAACATTAGCATCAGAGAGAAGTAACGAGATTTTTTTCAACTTTCCCTAATGTGATAGAAAATATGGAGTGATAATATTTTCACTGTGGAGGAATAAGTAAGTCTTTTCCAGGCTGCCTCAGTGAAAAAAAAAAAAATCTGTCATTTTTCCATTTCATGAAAGAGACTGTGAAGTCACAACAACAGATCCAAACTTTCTATCTCTAACGATACCTGCCTGTAAAAATAAGTTAGAGGATTTTTTTCCCTGTTGAACTATTGAAAATATCTGATTTTGTGTTTTGTATTAAGAGTTCTTAAAACTAAACAATACTCTTAGTAAAAAGCCAGACTTATTATTCCATATATGCTGTGGTTATTTAGTTAAGAAGAATAGCATTGGTTTAAAATGCCAAATAAGGGACAGGGAAGGTCAAGGCCAACTACATAATTTGTGGGGCCCAGAACAAAATGAAAATGTGGGTCCCCTTGTTCAAAAAACAAGAAAAAGCTTTTTCTTGACTCATCATGGTGTTTTAAATTCGCTATTTAATGTCTGGCTCCTTCAGGCACAGGGACGTGTGTAGGGTGAACACAGACTCTCACAGGTGCCAGCCTTGACCAGGACTCAGTGCACCAGGCATTGGCCTGACCCACCCCACCCATTGCAGGTGGCAACAGTCACTGAGCCACTGAGTGGGGTCGGGGAGCAGACAGGACAGCGGAATCTACACCCTGGAGGCGGGAACACATGTGCAATGAGGCTCCAATCCCCCAGCACTTCATTGTCGTAGTTGGACACAAAATTACAAAACACAAATTCAAAGATAAAATTATTAAGAATTTCAAGACAGGAACAGGTAGAGCATTAGACCCCAAGTGGCATTCTCTTCTGAAAATGGAGCCCTGCGATGCAGCCAGCCCTGTTAAATGAATGTCTTCACTAAGATCAAAGCGGTTGGATGGGGATTCAGAGGCCTGCAATGACTAGGACGTTCTGCATTTTTAATACGTCAATACTACTGGCTTCTTTGAACATCTAGGCTGGAATTTACACTTGCATTCTAGTTTTAGAGGCAGCTCTGATCTGCCACTGATATATATATAGGCAGTGGTTTTCTGATTGGACAGCGATAAAAGTAATTGGGTAAATCAGACTGAGAAGTTGAAGAAAGAGCTAGTACAGAATAATGGGGCTGTTGTAATCCAGAATTTATCCCCTGTTTGACAGCTCCTTGCTATGGGCTCTGGGTTGTCTTTCAAGGCAGAAATCACTGTTGTTGTTGTTTTTATTCAGGATGTTTTTTGAATATAGAAAAAGAACATTGTGATGTGAAAGAGCATTGAACCAGTAATCAAAAGACCTATTGTTTTAGCTTTAATTATGCCACAAACTAATGCAATTTGGCTAACAACTCAAGATCTCCCTGCTGTACAAAAAGCCGTGTAAACTTGCCTTGCATCCCCAATTCCATGCACTGTGGAAACCCAACAGAGGTTTGCTTTTTTGTGGTCTCCCGTGTCACCAACTCCTTTGCACCTGCCAACTGTTTCTGCTGAAGCTAACCTGGATTTGAAATCACATCCCTTCCCCTGTTCCCACTGATAATTCATGGCCAGCCAGCATTTGCCAGTCCATTGATGAAGTATGGGCGGATGGGGGTCACAACAGTTTAGATCTCCTGAGCTACCTCTCTTCTCCCTTCATCCCTGTTCTAGGCAAGATCACAGCTCCAGGGAGACTGCCTTCTTAGGTGTGGCAATTCAGCACCCCTGAACCCGAGCTCAAATTTGCATACCTAAATCCATCTAGGAGCTCAGCTAGAAAAGGGTTTTCCATTTAATAGGATTCATCTTCGTTAGAAGGAGTGTGTGTCCTAGATCCTAACTATCTTGTTGTCCTTTGATGCCAGCCTTTTGGGCTGTGGACTAGCCATGTAAGTCTTCTGGACTTCAGGCTTTTTATCTGTAAAATGAGGGCATGGTACAGATCAAAGCTTCATGTCTACTGTGGATCTTACCATAATGTGCCATGGGATCATGAGACCATTCTCCCTCCCTGCATATGGGTCTAAAAACATGAGGTCTCAAATAAAAAGGTCTTTCGGCTTCACTTGGGCCTCTAGCCATAACCTCTTAATGTCCATGTCTCATACCTTCGCCTACCCCCTCACCACTATCAACCCAGCCAGCCAGCCCCAAGAAATTTTAAGTAGTAGGATTGTCTTCCAGATATAATTGATTCTAATGCTATTAGTATAAAAAAAAGGAAAAAAAATTATCAGGGAGTTCGAAGTCTATTTCAGATTTGCCGACGAAAGACTTTTAAAATTAATAAAAATGTTAATTCCATCTTGCAAATGGATAGATCATTAATTCAACCAATTTACTAGTTGTTATGCTGTCAGAGTAAGCACAACATTAACCTGAGGCGGAAAACTGTTGGATGCAAGTTGGTGCTAATGTGAGCTTTCGAAGGATGAGGACATTAGTAGTTCAATAAGCCAATAATATTTAATATTTAATGTTCCTTCCAGTCCTTTTCCTATGTACAGTGTTCCACAATTTGTTCTCATTATAAAGAAGAATGCTGCGGAAGTGGTATTGGGGTGGGGGGTGTAGGATTCAGTGCCAGGTCCACTTTGATTTGGGCATGGCATTTAGCCTTTCTGGTCTCAGAGTCTTTTAGGAAAAATGACAGTAATAAAAGTTACTTTCACACACCTAAAAAGAAAACTCGGGGGAGAAATGAAATGATGTATGGAAGTGCATGCTGTTTTTCAAAGAAAAAGTGGCATAATTATTATGTTAATGATGAACATATCAGAGTAATTTGAAACATTAAATGTTTATTTAATAGAAAAGCCATTTTCTGCCTTCCATTGAAAATTATCTCAAACTCTAGTAATTTAGACTAAAGGGAAAAATTCTGAAAACAGAATTTTTATGAGTGTTTCTAATGTTGGTAAAATTTATACCCAGGAGTTCTTATTTTCCCTTCAGCAATTCACTAAATCTCAGTGGAGTGTCCCAAGAAAAAAATGTTTCCCTATTTTCAGTGATGAAAACATAATCATGCGGAAAAAACTGTAACTCCCCAAAGGCGCCTAGATTCCCAAACCATATTCAAATTATTTCTAATGAGAAAAAAGGCATTTGGGAAAGAGAAGAAAAAGTAGATTTAAACCAGGTAAAGAAGATACACCTGTGGCCACTATTGACGTTACCCCCTCCAGTGAGACGCAAAGTGGTTAAAGGAGGAAGAGAGGAGTTGGAAATACCTTAGGGATATTGCTAAGAAATTCTTCTCCTCAACATCTGTTTTTCTACTGCATCACTATTGTCCGAAGGAATTATGACTATAGAAACCAAGAGCACCTCCTGGGCCCTGGCTCCTGTATTTGCAGATATGTGGTGTTGGCATTCAGTGAACCAAGACCCGTCAGAGGACAAAACACTGAAAAATTTCACCTCAAATTTGACTCTCATAAATTATTGGTTTCCTGATTCTGATTAAATCTCTGACCCAATAAATTCTTATTTTTGTCCTATTTCTGTTTTCTGCGTAGAAATGAATGCACTATAAATAGAATATATTAGTAGCAAAACTCAGTCTTATTAAAATTTACCTTAAGTGAGATAGTGAGGTTTTCTGCTGTTAATCTAAAGTATTTACTGAAAATGTATTTTTAAAATACTTTTTATTATGGTAAAACATATATATAACATAAAATTTGCCATTTTAATTATTTTCAAGTGTACAATTCAGTAGCATTAACTGCATTCATAATTTTGTGCAACCATTACCACTATCTCCAAAACTTTCTCATTACTCCAAAAAGAAACTGTGTACCCATTTAGCAATACCTCCAATTATTACCTCCACTGATAACCTCTAATCTACTTTCTATCTCTATAAATTGACTCTTCCAGGTACCTCCTATAAATGGAATCACATAATAATTGACCTTTTGTGTCTGTCTTATTCACTTAGCATGTGATGTTTTCAAGGTTCACCCATATTGTAGCATGTATCAGAACTCGATTACTTTTTGAATAAGGAATAATAATCCACTGTAATGATATGCTCCATTTTGTTTGCCCATTCATCTGTCAATGGACACTTAGGTTGTTTCCACTTTTGACTCTTGTGAATAATGCTACAATAAACATTGGTGTACAGGTATCTGTTTGAACATCTGATTACAGTTCTCTTGGATATATATCTAAGAGTAAAATTGCTGGGTCATATGGTATTTCTACATTGAACTTTTTGAGGAAGCACCAAAATGTTTTCTATAGTAGTTGTATCATTTTACTTTTTCATCAGCAATATATAATTGTTCCAATTTCTCTACTTGTTATTTTCTATTTTTTTGTTTTTAAAATTGTAGTCATCCTACTAGGTGTGAAGTGATGTCTGGTTGTGTTTTTCATTTGTATTTTTCTAAAAATGGATTATGTTGTGCATCTTTTCATGAGCTTATTGGCCAATTGTATATCTTCTTTGGTAAAATGTCTATTCAAGTTGTTTGTCCACTTTTAAAGCAAGTTATTTCTTTTTTTGTTGTTGAGTTGTATGAGTTCTTTATATATTCTCAGTATCAATCCCTTATCAGATATACGATTTGCAAATATTTTCTGCCATTCTGTAGGTTGCTTTTCACTTTCTTGATAATGTCCTTTAAGAATATATTTTAAAGCTGTGTGACTTGAATTGCACATATTTATGTGTTAGAGAAAATTTTATAGCATGTGTGTTGTGAATGTGATAGAACCCTTTCAGACAGTGTTAGAAGATGACTAACCTATTTTGCATTATCGGTGTCATAGCATGTTTTGCTTTAAATGTTTGCTTCATATAGGAGATT